ATGTAGTGAATGTAACATTCCTAACTAGTCCCACTGGCAGTTAATCACATGTAGTGAATGTAACATTCCTAACTAGTCCCACTGGCAGTTAATCACATGTAGTGAATGTAACATTCCTAACTAGTCCCACTGGCAGTTAATTACATGTAGTGAATGTAACATTCCTAACTAGTCCCACTGGCAGTTAATTACATGTAGTGAATGTAACATTCCTAACTAGTCCCACTGGCAGTTAATAACATATACTAAATGTAACATTCCTAATTAGTCACATTGGTGATTAATTACATATACTTAATATACCATCCCTAACTAGTCCCATTGGTAATTAATTACACACACTTAATGTAATATCCCTAATTAGTCACACAGGGATATTACGTCTAGTACATGTAATCACCAAACTAGTCCTGCTGGTAATTAAAGGTGCCATAGAATGCATATTTTTTCAGTATTTTCTGGTGTCTACATACAAGGTTTGTGAACTTGATTTGGTTTTAAAATGCCTAGAAGCGGTTATACAATTACACATTTTTTGTAATTGTAATTTAGAAGTTTTTCAATTACAACCCTATAATTTGGCTCTAGAATGAAACAGGCTGACTTCCCTTTTTTGGTAAGCTCATTAATATGTAGATGAGCTCTGCTCTGATTGGTTGGTTTATCGTGAAGCACTGGCTTCATCTAGAACCATCATCTCTACAATCACGTGAGGCTTAACAACACTTCGGTCAATGACGGACCACATCTATGTTGGTGTTCCCATGAGATTATAATGCAGCTGAAAAATTTCTATCGTCTAGTGATGTTGTAGTGCAACACATTGCTCACGTTTGTGATGCTGGTGTAAATAACCCCATTGTAGTATAGCACATACAATTATGTACCGTACATAATACTTGGAAATGATAATAGTTACTGGTTTATGCATTTACTACTTTATATTATTTTAGAGTGTACTTCTTCGACTTTGCCAGTTAACTCTAATACTCCAGCTTCAGCCTAGGTACAACATTAGCATCCTCATCACTGTGTTTTTAGCATCGTAACAAGAACATTGTAATTATTTTGCACCTCAACGGATGATTTTACGATGCTAGCCATCTAGAGTTTTTGTCAAGAACTCTAAAACGGCAAGCTGAATATCTCATAAGTGTGTTGTTTGCAATATTTTTTTTGACTTTGGTATCAACTAGATATTTCTACAGGTAACCAGAAGTAGGCAGTGCAGAAGCCTCTTGTCAATGTCAGTATCCCAGACTGAGTAATGTTGTTTACTACTCCCCTGCTTACTAAGTACATGTTTCCCAAAAGCATAGCTGCTAACATTAGCAACTTACATAATTGGGCCCATGCAACTGAACAGTTCCAACCATGTAAGTTGCTAATGTGAGCTTTTGGGGAACATACCCCTGAACAGGACTAACCTTCTTAGTCTATTAGTAATAAATAACCTTATATCAATGGCTATCAGGATATATTTTTTTCCTCGCCAGGTGCACTTGTGGAAATTGTGTAAGCATGCCCCTTGAGAGAGAAAACATATATTGCAGAATGTGCATATCTGGTTTAGAGTTGTAGTCCAGGATTTTTTAATCAACCCGTTGTACCATTTCTTTTACATATATGGGATTTATATTTGTACAACTGTGTTTGAGATTCATGGTAGGTCAATTCCATGTACTGAATTGTCCTTATTCAGTTATGTCAGATTTCCATTCTATGGCACCTTTAATAACATGCACAAAATGTGACATTCCTAACTAGTCCCACTAGCGATTAATTGCACATACTTAATGTAACATCCCTAACTAGTCCTACTGGTCATTAATTACAGGGACTGTAACAAGGCTGATACTTCTGTTTACTTGTTTGGCACTCAAACTCTTGGTATGTCTACAGACATAATATAATTTATTGCTGGTGGCATATTTCAGGTGGCCAACTGGAATATGGGTTTAGAGATTGAGGAAGTGGGTATATTTTAAGGTTTCAACTTACCATTCTCTGGGGACCAGGAGGGCAGGGTCACTAGTTAAAGGACCCAAGCCCAGGTGGCTACTGGGT